GCATACACTTAGATAATAAAGAAAAATCTTGTTACGAATCAATCATCCGCAAAATCCATTGACAAAAAAACAATTCTAACTAAACAGTTAAGCAAAAACAAAAGAACAAATATGACTTACATTATTTTCTTGACAGACAAAAGTCAAAATGCGATGTAATTATAATTATGTGTTAATGTTGACTAACAAAATACAGAATAAATTCTCTTGAGAAGAAAACAACAAATGAGTACAAGTAGCATTATGTCAAAGAAAACTACTAGTGTGATCGGAACCATTGATAAATTGGATGAGACATCAACAATCTTCTTCTTCTTTTGTTTCCTCATGAGTAAAATAGATAGTCATATTTGACAGAAAGTTAATCATGTACACTCAATATGTCAATGTCAATAGATTTGCATTTCTTTTCATTAAATATTATACACGATCATTTTATTAATAACATTCATTGTTAACCATTACATAAAAATCTGTTGTCTATATACCTTTTGAAAATTTCAATGGGAATTTCATTATCTTTGACATATATATTTATTATCTATACACGCAATAGAAATTATTTTTTAAAATATTATCACTTTATTATGAGATTCTTAAATAAAAATATTAGTTATTCTAAAAACAATACATGTTAACGATGAAAAAAAAAAGAGACTCTAAAAAAAGAAAAATGAATGCAATGTTAGTCGGCAAGTTAATTGTTTTTGAAATTAATTGAAGGAGATTCATGTCATTTTACCAAGTTCAAATTTTTTAAATAATTCACTTGCTGTAAATATAAGCGAATCAAGAATACTTGCTACTGTAAATGAACCACCAACAATAGCACATATTGATGTTATAAATGTATAAAATTTTTGTCGACGTTCTGTATATTTAACAGTTATTGGCTAAACAACAGAAAAGAAAGAAAAAATTTTAATTGAATAAAAGCCTATGCTTATTATTTTTACCATAATATCATAGCGAAACCATATTGCCGGTGGAGCGCCAGGCTGATTTGGTGCAAATCCCTTTAAATAAAATAAGTATCGTGTAGGCGATGTTTATTAAAGAATATTATGTTACGTGTTCAGTTAAAAAAAGAGATCTTCGCATTACAACTATATGATATTTTAATATAGATAAAGATTAGATTACTAGAAATTTTATTTTAAAAATAAAATTTATGATTATGTAACTGCGGAATTTATATAAAATCTATGTCTGGATAAAGTAATTATTTAGCTTGACTAGATTTTTTAATTTTTAATGAACATCGTTGAAAGCTAAGAATAAAAAAGAACCTTTTTTCAAAATACCGTCGAAAGAAGATAGCAATTATTTATGCATCGATGATAATTTTATTCTAATCCTGATTATAATTGGATCTTTGAATAGAACTTTTTTAGAATGTATTCAGTCTACGATTTGATTTTACTCAAATACTTTTAAGTACTCGAAGACAATCGAAAATAAATATACGGAAGTACATTGTACACAAACAATTTTTTTATTGAAATCAAAGGAAATAACATAAATAATTATTTGTCTTACATTATAGATTTTTAGTTTTTGTTCTTTAAATATTCTACCACTTTATATTGTTTGTTACATATTGGTTAAACTTTAGCGGTTACATCCTTTGTAAAGTACTGAGTACAAATCTTTTACTAACCCGATAGAAAAATGTAAATTGAAATGGATATCGACGATTTCCACTAAGATTCTCATAAATTGTTGGTACAATTTTCATTAAATAATCGTGTGACACACGATTATTATTATTTGTATTATTAAAACGTTTTAATGGACGGAATGCTCTTCGATTTGGAATTTGTCGAAAACCCTTTCAATGAAATAAAATCTTATTTTAAATTAAAATATTTAAGAAAAAGAACAAATACTTTAATTGTATCACCAAATGCTAAATCATGTATCACATGTTTCATATCAATATTTTGAGGTTGAATTGCTGCGGAATGTGTTGAAACATGAAAATTACCAGGTACACGAGTAATTTTAAATGTAGCATTTATACGACAACCAGCACCATTATTTTCTGGTATTTTCATTGTATTTTCATGAAATCCAACTTCATGTCGACCAAGATCATCTTGGATATCAATACCAAGATCTATAATTATACAAAAAGTTTATATTAGTAACAAAATAAAAATTTCTATCTTACATTGACAACCAACTTCCGATACACTAATATCGATATGTACTGGTATTTTTTCAGCTACACCACCTTCTGGTATATCAACAAACAATTCACTTATACTGAAAATCAAAAAATAATAAATATTTAGTTATTTGGTAGAATATTTCATAACTTACACATCGGGTGTTATAAAATAATAAAGCTCAATAAGGAGTAATGTTGAAATAAATGAAATACAAATAAGTGATATAGCAGCACCAGTAGTTGTTGGCTGTGTCAGATCTTTAGGAATTTTTCGATAAATATCGAATCTATATGTAAGAAATAAAAAAGTAATATACAAAAATCTGAAATAAATATTTTTCTAACTACCTTCTTATATCGAATTGCATATTCGATAATTAGATCTAGAATAGGAAGAAACTAATGAAAATAAATGTTACATAAAATAGGGAATACAAATAAACAAACAGGGCATCTATTCGACTGTGTTTTTTTTTCTCTCTCTTTTTATTCTAAATAACTAAAATGAGTTCTATTAAAAGTTAAGAATTGATTCTGATTTGTTGTTCGATAGAAGCATATTAGGATTCTCCATATATGATCGAAATGCTTGAAGAAATAATGCACTTGATTGAGGATCACATGCACGAGCATCATAAGATAATGTAACAGTTAATTGATTTTCAGCTTTTAAATCATCACCAGTATGTTTAAGAAGATTTTGACCAATAGCCAATATACCAATTTGTGGTGGATTAATAACAGCCGAAAATGATCGTATACCAAACATACCTAAATTTGATATTGTAAATGAACCACCTTGAAATTCATTCGGTTTTAATTTTCCATCTTTAGCTTTTGTTGCTAATTGACGAACTTGTCCATTAACATCTTGTACGGATAAACGATCGGCATTAAATACAATTGGTGTTATAAGACCATTATCAGTTGCAACTGCAACACTTACATCCACTGATGATTGAAGTTTAAGACCTTGTTTATCATCATAAATACCGTTCATTTGTGGTACTTGCTAAAATGAATCGAAAAAAAAATATCATATATATTCAAGTAAATATGTTATGACTTACTCGAAGTGCTGATGCTACTGCTTTAATAATAAAATCATTCACCGATACTTTAACTGTTGCTTTTGGATCACTAACCATTTGTTTACGTAATTTAAGTATTTGATCAACATTAGATGTTATACTTATATATTGATGAGGTATATTTGTTTTTGAATATGTTAAACGTTTAGCAATAGCTCGACGAATAGATGAGATTTCTATATCATGATATCGACGTCCTCCTGATTCTGAAATTTGTTGTTTTTTTTGTGTGTCCGATGTTGTCTGTTTAGTAGTAGATTTCTTTTCCTCACTATGTGATTTAACTTTAAGTTGGTTACTGTCAATATATTTTTGTACGTCACTAAAAATAGAAAGTTTTAATTAACGAAAAATATAAAAGAAAGTTAAAACCTTTTCATAACAACACCATGTGGTCCAGTGCCTTTTATTTTTGAAGATTCAATACCATATTGGTCTAACAGAGTACGTGCAGCTGGACCAATAGCATGGCTTAATAGATAAATAAAAATCGTTTTCTTTTAATTCATATATAATAATACATACTGAGATTGTTCAGCTTGTTGTTTATCACTTTTAGGTTTTTCTTGTTTTTCTTGTTTATCTTTTGTTTCAACTTTTTTAGTTTCTGTACTTTTTGAACTTGAACTTTTTTCTTCAGTCTTTGGTACTTCAACATTTTTCCAATCATCACCTTTTTCAACGAGAAGTGCAATTAATTTTCCAACTTTAACATCAGTTGAATTATCAGGCATCTAAAGTTTTCATATTTTTCTTCTAATAATAAAATATTAGGAATTTATTTACTAGAATTTTAGCAAGAATTCCTTCGTCTTCAGTATCGAGAGTCATAGTTGCTTTATCTGTTTGAATTTCACATAAAGCATCACCAGGATTAACTTCTTCGCCTATAATATATGATAGATTTTGAAAAATTCTATTAATTAATTATCAAACCTTCTTTTTTAAGCCATCTAATGATTGTTCCTTCGCTCATTGTTGGGGAAAGAGAAGGCATGTTAAGTGGTGTTGATGCTAAATGAAAATGAATAAGAAAATAATTAAATTCAAAATTTTTTGTCAATACCAAGAGTTCGAACAACTTCAAAAGCAATACGATGTTGACGACAAACATTTGTCGCAATTCGACCAAAATTACGAAGCATTGGTAGAACTAGAATAATAATAAAATTAGGTTAATAAAGCGAATCGATTCTATTGTCGTTTTAAAAATATAATCAATAAAAACGCCTCATATTTATGTATTGATAATGAGTATAAGTATGAGGTAAGGAAAAACGATGGCTGGATGGAAAAACAACACGTTATTTCTATTGGTCCATGTAACTTTCGTATATATCTAGATGGCGGTACTATTCGATATAAGTTTTCTAATTAATAGTATATTTTAAATAAACAAAAGGGATGCCATTGTAATAGATATAAAAGTAAGAAAAATAAATAAAATTCAAAATGATATCTTTTATCCAACAATAAACGGTAAAGCCAATATGAGTTTATACGGAAAGGAATTAAATCCAAATAATATTTAATAAAGAAAACTATTGATACACGTTTAGATCAGCATTCATGAAATATTTGTATATTATCAATTATTAATTGATAATTTGAACAATTTCTTACCTCTAAACTAGGAACAAAATACAAAACGTAAAGGCATAGTGGGAACTGATATTATTCATTTTTTCACATTTCGAGAAAATTGAAATGAAAAGAAGAGTATCATTCTATACAATTGTCCATTATTGGTACTGATGGTTAAATGTTTTCCACGGTATATGCGAATATCTAGATGTGATTATGAGTTACTATAAAACTTGATCGTATAATTCTTCATTTGCATCTGTTTTCTTATTGAAAATAAACGCATTCAGTTAACAAATATTTAAATCATTTTAGATGAACAGAACTGCCTTTATTAATTAAAATTTTATTACAAATATTGCTGTTTGCCATAAACAGTAAAAAAGATTGTAGTTTGTTATTCTTATTATATAATGAGTATCTATACTTTATAGTTGTATGCTTTACATACTCGATGCAGCTATATTCGAGAAACATGAATTGTAAACGTCATCGACTAAGTTATAGATATGGTTTTTAAACATCTTTGCAAAAATACTACTAATTTATCAATAGTTCCAAAGTGATTTTTAATTAAAATAGAATTAAGGCTTTCTTTTATAAACATTGAAATATTTTCTATAAACATTTGATATTTTCATAAATCGATTTTCTTATAACGCAAGGTTTATCTTAGAATCATAGTGTACAATACTGTACTTCTCCTTCAAAGTATACTGTGGTAAGTAGAAACATACCACAATGTTTACTCTTTAATGGTTTTTCTTTCAAGATTTTTTAGAACATTTTATAAATGTAGGAATTATAATTTGTTTTAACAATATAATCTATTCTTCATCTAACTGATATTGATAGCAGACTGTAATTATCTCGGTTATAGTAATAATGATTTTTTTTCTAGAAAAATATTGATCTTTCATGGTAGTAATATATTCTTCATAGAACTATCCTTTCATATCTGACTCTAAATTTTCCATAGATTTTTCTCTCAGAAGAAAGAAAATCTAAAGGTATTTAGACTTCATGTATTAGTAACGTTGAATGTCTTTGTTTGTCGTTAACCAGAAGCTGTTTTAAGAACAATTCAGTTTCATGTAAGTTATTCTTTTTTCGGTTTTCCCTCGTTTTAAGATGTTTTTTTCCACGACTACTATTTAAGATAATACTTTTTTCTTCTTTTTTTATTACATCGAAGACTCTGGTAAAGAATTAAAACTATAAATATGTCTGAGGAGGTCATTTATATAGATACGTATGTATGCGTATTACCCTATCAGTCGCCTATATGCCTGTTACATTTTTTTTATTCACATAGTTGTTCTCTTTATACGCGCGCGTGAGATATTGGAAAATAGAATCAATTTGAAAACAAGTGAACAAAATATACTTTTATTTATTTATTATCTATTCTTTTTAATTTCTTTTTCACCTTTTCAATACTCTCTCTCACACTCTTGATATGAGAATGAGTCGGAGGTAATGCACTTTGTAGTATGCCTAAAGCACGTTCAAAATATGAAAGTGCTTTCGAATAGTCTCTCATATTTTCATAGACCAAACCGATGCTGTTGTATGAAGTAGCCAAATCAGGATGTTGCGAAGGAAGAGTTCTCTGGTCAATTTCTAGAGCTTTTTCGGAAAATGAAAGTGCTTTCGAGTATTCTCCAATGCTTTTGTACACCAGACTGATGTTGCTGTATGAAGTAGCTAATGAAGGATGATTCGGACAAAGAGTTCCTTCTTGAATTTTAAGTGCTTTTTCGTGAAAGGAAAGTGCCTTCTGGTATTCTCCAATGCTTTTATACACTGAGCCAATGTTATTGTACGAAGTAGCTAAATCGGGATGATTTGAAGAAACAGTTCTTTGCCGAATTTCAAGTGCTTTTTCGTGAAATGAAAGCGCTTTCGAGTACTCCCCCATGTTTTCATACACCAAACCGATGTTGCTGTATGAAGTAGCCAATGAAGGATGATCTGAAGGAAGCGTTTTTTCTCGAATTTCTAGTGCTTTTTCGTGAAATGAAAGTGCTTTTGGATGTTCTCCAATGTTATCATACACCCAGCCCATGTTGTTGTATGAAGTAGCCAAATCAGGATGATCTGAAGGAAGAGTTTTTTCTCGTATTTCTAGTGCTTTTTCGGAAAATAATAGTGCTTTTGAGTACTCTCCCATGCTTTTGTACACCAGACTGATATTGCTGTATGAAGTAGCCAATGAAAGATGATTTGGAGGAAGAGTTTTTTCTCGAATTTTTAGAGCTTTTTCGTAATATGAAAGTGCCTTCAAATAGTCTTTCATATTTTTATATAGCCAACCGATGTTGTTGTACGAAGTAGCTAAATTAGGATGATTTGAAGGAAGAGTTTTTTGGTCAATTTCAAGTGCTTTTTCGGAAAATAAAAGTGCTTTTGAGTACTCTCCCATGCTGTCATACACACCAGCGATATCGTTGTATGAAGTAGCTAATGAAGGATGATCCGAAGGAAGAGTTTTTTCTCGAATTTTTAGTGCTTTTTCGTAATATGATAGTGCTTTTTGGTGTTCTTCAATGTTTTCATACACACCAGCGATGTTGTTGTATGAAGTAGCTAATGAAGGATGATTTGGAGGAAGAGTTTTTTCTCGAATTTTCAGTGCTTTTTCGTAATATGATAGTGCTCTCGAATAGTCTTTCTTACTTTCATATACCCAACCAATGTTGTTGTATGAAGTAGCCAATGAAGGATGATTTGAAAGAAGAGTTTTTTGGTCAATTTCAAGTGCTTTTTCGGAAAATGAAAGTGCTTTTGAATACTCTCCCATGTTGTCATAGATACCAGCGATATTGTTGTATGAAGTAGTCAGATCAGGATGATTTGAAGGAAGAGTTTTTTGGTCAATTTCAAGTGCCTTTTCGGTAAAGGAAAGTGCTTTTGGGTAGTCTGCCATTTTGTTATATGCCCAGCCAATGTTGCTATATGAAGTAGCCAAATCAGGATGATTTGAAGGAACAGTTTTTTCTCGAATTGCAAGTGCGTTTTGGTAATACCAAATAGCCTTGGCATAATTACCTTGGTCTTCTTTGACATATCCCAATTGATTATAATAAAACGCTTTTTTACTCTCGTCAGATGTCTGCTCGAGTAATACATCAAAAAGCTCTTGAGCTTTATTACATTGACCAATTTTAAGCAGCAATCTACCCAATCTCTCCCATTCACTATTTCCATCAGATTCTTCTCGCATCTGATCAGTTAGTAATCGAAGTTGATGATCATCATCCGAGGTTAATTGTAACTCAACTTGATAAAGCTGATTGTTATTGCCCATTTGTTTAATTGCACTCACTCGAAAGACTGTATGCATTGAGAAGAGAATTTCTTCTTCGTTCTTAAAATAACTCTTCTCTTTGATTGAGGCAAATGGTGCTGATTTTATACAAGGATCAATGGACATTATAAATAAAATGCCAACCATATCCTCGTTTTCTGACGCACTATAAGCTAGCCCGAGAGCTATGTCTTGTTCGGTACTAGTGGATAAAAAGTTATTGAAAGACATTATACCACCTTCTGTTTTTTGGAGCTTTTGGAAATTTGCTTTGTATAGACCTTGTCCCCGGTAAACTATAAATGGTTTACCATGATAGCTATTAACCTGCTGTCGATGTAACTTTTGTATTTGTTGGTGAAGATCATGAATAAAAAATCCCATATTAATAATGGTATCGCCTTCCATAAAGCGAAGAGCATTATTCAGCATAGAATAGAGAAATGATGGATAACTATACCAATAAATAGCTGACTGAGCATCATACTTTTTTTCAAATTCATTAATAATCTTTGTCGATCCGCAGTCGTTTTGTCGACTGTAAGTAATAAAGTCTTGTATAGCTTGTTTATCATGTTTCATATCAAGAAGAATATCCTTGAATATTTGGGTGTACATAAATGTTGGCTCCAATTGATTTAAATTATCAGTTGAAGCCATTTCATTTGCTGTGATAAAACTAATGGCTATTGAGTCTTGATGGTATTGTTTAATATCCAATTGTAATCGTTGACATAAGTAATCGATGTTGGTATGAACGCTCTTGACTTTTTGACATTTTTTTATCAGTTTTTCAGGTAGGAGTTTAGTATCATTTAAGATATAAATACCATGCAGCTGAGGAATATCATTAATGAGAGGCGTTATTTGTTGAGATATAGTGTCCTTGACTACGAGAAAAGACTTGATGTCTTCTTGACCATCTATAAGATAGTCGATACATACATCTCGCTGCTTAAAGACGTTGACATTGTCAGTAATGCTTTTTAATTGTGTCAAAATATTTTGATAATCTTTGCTTGCTTCTTCCATACACTCATCTAACCAGATGAGTGAATAATCTTGTACGATCCGTCTTCGCCGTTCGGTACTATTGGATACTGCGTCCATTTTGTGTACTATACGACAATAAAACGGTAATTTTGTGAGTTTTTCGATTGAGTGGATAATGGTGAAAGAAAGAAATAAGCTTTGCTGTATATATGAGAATCAGATTTCTTTATGTCAATATCTTTTATGGCGTTATCAGCCATTTTTTATGTTTATTACTACTACCTATAATAAAACCCTGTTCTGTGTATCACTCAGTTTACATCGTAAAGCTAGATAAGTAGATGGAAGAAAAAAGTATTCGTTTTTTCCAACTTTCTCCAAAGATAGGACATAATATGGTCTCTAATAAAAAAAATACATATTTGCAAAGAAAATATGTACATTAAAAGCCTCGCAGCATTTTCTTTTGTGTTTGAATCGTATATTGGTATTACACAAGGATACAAATATAATAATACAGTTTCTTATGCTCAATCTAGTATAGATATTATCAGATAAAAGATTAAATAATAATTAATATTAAACTTGTTGTTTGATAAATTAACAATTTATTCAATATTGAAATTATAATGTAAACTAGCAGAAGTGCTCGTCGTTGCCAAAAAAACTGAGGATATGAATGTGAGTGACAGATATATATATATATCCATGATTAAGCAAAAAACGACTTGATGAAATAAGTTATGTAAAATGCAGGCAATTTACAATTCGAACACTCTTTTTTATTTTTAATATTACATAGTTTCATACAGTCTGACAAGTTGAATTAGAAGATATATAATATACTTAGAAAAAAACGTTTTCTTGTGTCAGAAAAATATTTGTATTTTACATGTATAACAAATTAAGAATTTGATTCTTCGCTCAACAGATATATCGTCATAAATACTATTATAATTACGTAAATTATATGTTTTTTATTTTATTTTCAAAGATCTGTTGAAACGGATAGACAGTTTAGAATACAATTTCCTATTTAACGACAGATTAATTAAGAATAATATTAATATATACTTACTTTCTTATAATTATATAAGATGGTTATTAACTATTAATGATCAATTCGATGAAAATAAATCAGAAATATCCATCATAGTGATTTACTAAGGACATTTTCAGTTTTATAATTATTTCTACTCGATAAGATTTCATTTATTTTACAAAATAAAATTTGTAGGTTTTTGAAATTTTATAAAATAAGCTTTGATATATTCTGACTTCGATTTAAATACCCGATGATTAGATACAGATAGTTTTTTTTCCTTCTGACAAATCGACGGAAACATATTGTTTTCTTAGATACAGACTGAAAGCGTACATTCTCGGCTAGAAACTAGATTAAAAAAAATATTAACATCAATGAATATTTTTCCAAGCTTACATTTGACTAATTTATTAGTTATTGATAAAATGCCGTCAAAACACTAATCGAACCATTTCGATCGATCAATAATCGATTCGTGATTATCATATTTTAAGAACTACAATGATCCGAATGTGTATCTTTGCACTTCTTTCATCGTTTTTACATCTACTAATTCAATTAAATTATAAAATCCATGAACAACTACATGTTGTTAGCTTTAGGATACAAAGCATATCATTTTCTTGAATAAATAGATAAACTCGATAGCTGGAAAAAATCCTCAATAAGATTGATGACTTACAAAATACACAACTAGATACTAATCATTTGTTGTTGATCATCATTTCAAAGAAATATTCCTCTATCAAACTATTATGTTTAATCATTATTTTCTATTTTTCGGTGCTATTTTATTAACAAGTAAACTATATCTTTAAATAGAATCATTTCAAAATTTAATTCTATATTAGATTTAGTTAATGCAAATGTTAATTTAACATGTTACGAATGTAATAGTTGTACAATAACACCAATAAAAATATCAATTGAAAATCGACAATGTGTTGTATGAATAAAAAAAAGATCTATTCATTGTTTTCAATTGATTTTTATATCTTTTAGCGTATTCAAATAACTTGTATAGCAGCAGATATACATCTTATTGATCTAAGAGGTGATCGGCTACATTCAAATCATTCATCTGTTACTTGTGGTCAAAAACTTAGTTATTTATCAACATGTACAATTAATTATCGATGTTGTTATACAGATAGATGCAATACATATGAAAATACTATGTTATCATCCTCAGCATCACCATCATCATTTATATTAAAAATAATAGTAATTAGTTTTCATATATTTCTTCTTTTTCTTTAATTTTAAAATAAAAGATTGAAAATTATTTGAATAAATAATCATAACTATAGTATAATTTATTTTGTTTAATTACAATAGAAAAAAACATACAGACATAAATACTATGAAAATTAAATGAAAAATAATAATTATACTAATAACAAAGAATATTATCTAATCTACTATTATTTTATGTAGTTGTTTAATACTATGATGTCGTGATAAACCAACTCGTATATCAGGTATTGATAATGAATGAAATGGATGATAGATACGATCTAAAATATAATCAATATAATCTATTAAAAGAAAACTGAAGATATTTACCACCATTCGTTACAGATTGATCATAGTAAGATATTGATGACGCTTGTTGTGTACATTGAAACATTTGCTGTAAAAGATATTGTAAGAA